TTACCCCATACAGACCCTGGGCTAAGAATATCTAGGATCTCCTTTATGAAAAAGAAAAGGACCAGCACTAAACGCCGTCTGCTTCCTCAGCGAAAGAAGAAAAGAAAAGGGGGTGGAAAGGAAGAGGAGGGGAAGTGACAAAAGCACACCATGTACCAACTACTGGCCATGCTTATATGAACAGAAATACACAGTGGAACAAAGAAAGACTGCGCACCCTGGGTTACCTCATGCCCAAGGTGGAACAGGAACCAATGTGACAGCAGAAGCACCAACAGAACATCTAACTAGTCTTCTGTCCACAAGAAGCCAGCAAAATACTAGTAAAACAATGCATGAAACTAACTGTGGTTTCAAAATAAACTTCTCAGATGCAGCCAGTTCTTATACAGTTGCATTTATAGTTGTTATATCACTATGTTTTGACCACTTTTAAAACCCTAACCTTTTCATATTGTACCTCACCAGTAGATTAATTCTTCATTTAAACATTATAAAACTATGGCCACAGAAATGACCACAAAATTTAAATTTTGCGTCTCTTTCAGTCTCTCTGAGCACTGAAAACTTGAAAATGTGTCTCTCCAAAAATCTTGCATGTATTCAAGGCCACTCATGCACGAATATTCAAAAGCTCTTATAAGAAGCACAAAATCTAGATCCATGAGAAATGTACTGTGATTTGTCAGAAGTACAGTTCTGAAATCCATCCATTTTCCTCTGCTTATCTGGAACCAGGTCACGGGGGCAGCAGTCTAAGCAAAGATGCCCAGACTTCCCTCTCTCCAGACACTTACTCCAGCTCCTCTGGGGGAATGCCAATGCGAGGCATCGAAAACAGAGGCCCGAGCCACCTCAGCTGGCTCCTCTCGATGTGGAGGAGCAGTGGTTCTACTCCAAGCTCCTCCTGGGTGACCGAGCTCCTCACCCTATCTCCTGCACCCAGTTCTGAAATAAGCTTTCTTATTCACTACACATGCCTCCTTCTGCGCGCCCTTTTAGACAAAGTTAAAGTGAACAACTACAAGTAGTCCTTCTAGCTAAAAAAAACCGTCAGGTAATGATATTTGTTGACACATTCTGAAGTGAACTATGCTGAATGGCAGGTACTACAAAATCTGCACCAATACTATTAGTGCAGTCTCAGTAATTGTTATAAGTTTAACCTGCAATAAGTGATTCTCTAAGGTTGTGCTTTTAGATAAAAAAAAGCTCTTTATTAAGATTAGAAGACCTTAGTTGTCATTTTTTACAATAATAAACATGTGGTTAAGGCTGTGGAAAGGTCATGGGTGAAAGAAACAACACTGACAATCTGTTTGAAACAGGAAAAAAATGCCATGTCAAAATTGATCCATTTAATTCAATACAATATATATAATTTGAATTTGGTTACACTTTTGTGCACATTCCTCTGTATGTTGAAAGTGTAAAACCCAGTAATATAAATGGCAGAAATGTTTTATTTTGTCAGAAAACAATTTAAATTGTGTGCACCTTAATGGCTACTGTATGTACTGTACTGTCTGACCCTCTTAGCTCACTGTTACTGTATTAAATTCAAGCAGTGATTGTTTAACGTGGACAAAAATCCATTTTAAATTAAAGACAAGCACATTGCTACTGCAGCTATCACCTAATCACTCCTGAAGAAATTTTATGTTTGGTGAGTTTCTAAGTAAAAACAGAAATCGAGCTTTACCTGGAGAAAACTTCTGTTTCTCACACAAGCACACACACAGCCAGCTTGCTAGTCGGATTACAGTAGTTCCATTTTTTAGTATTCTTTGTGCAGCTGTTCTTTACAAGGCAGATCTTGAATGGTGGTAGACGTAGGCCGCTCTGTCTGGCACTCAGCTGGAGCCTACTGAAGAGACAGTTGTGTTTGCATATGTGCGTGTCTGTGTGTGTGAAAGACAGAGAACTAGACATGTCATGGGTGCATACACTGTAGTCATGATGCCGATGTCCCCATTTTTCATACTATTCTCAAGTTAGCATTTCCTGCTTTCTTTTTTGTCTTGCCTTCTGTCTGTCTTTCTCCTTCCTTCTCCCTAACTTCCCTAACTGAGTCTTTTCCTGTGCGGTTCCAAGCAGCTCTCTCCTTACTTTCATCTCACATAAAAAGATAATGAGTTTGATTACATCACCCGCCGAGTCATTTGACAAAACTTTAAATTAAAAAAACATTCACTTTGATTGTTAAAATAAATCCCCAAAGCAGGGAGTTGTCTAAAAAAAAAAGTTATTGCCTTGCAGCTGTGAAACACCTATGAAAACTTTTTATTTCATTAGCTTTGCCTTTTTTATTTTGAAATTGATATGTCATCCATGGCAGTAAGTGGTGAGAGGCCAAGAAATGTCCCACACGTGACATTGTGTTTCGACACCACTGAGCTGGAGCAGGTGCATTGCCACAAGCCATGACTGCAGCTAGTTTAACACCTTCCCAGTCATTTTTATGGAGTGATGGGGGGTGGGCCTGGAAGGGGAAAGCATCAGTGAGATGACTGAGATTAAATGGGGAGGAAAGCTTATTGTGGATACATTGTCATCTAATCACATTTTGTTGTTGTGAGGACATTTGGGGCAGTCCTATAAATATAAAGGACTTTCTGAAGGGTAAGACTTGACTTGAGGGTGTAGGTTAGGTGTTGGGCATTTAGTTCTGATGGTTAAGCTTAGATTAAGGGGCTAGGGAATGCACTTTGTCTCCCTGAGTATTGTCTTTACTGAAAAGAAACCAAACTAGCCCCAGCCTAAACTTAAAAATACAGTCCATGATTTTATCATAGCTCACAACAGAGTTCTGGTAATTTTCTTAAAAGAGACAGCTGACTTTCAAAAAATCAAAACTGGAAAGTAGTTTTGAAGTCTGGTGATACTCAGGGTGTGCTTTTTTTAACCACCAGCCCTAAAGTCAGCTTTTTTTGGTCCATCCAAAATACTCCCCCAGTCTAAAATGTCCTCACAGGAACAGTAAACTGTCTACAGTCAGTCCTCACAAGCACAGCTAAACCAGACCACACGCACTCACACATGTGCAAGCAGCTACCATTGGCTCTGCAAAGAGGGTCCCCTCCTGACTCCATCCCTTCTTGCCTGCAGCTGCTGGCCAGCTTGTCAGTTCCCAGGCATCAAGCCATCAGAGATGATGCCTCCTCACGCCACCAAGTGGTGGCCACCTGTCCTACACCACTCTTCTGCTGGGGCTATACTCAAGACAGCAGTGGGAGGGAGTCTGGAAAGCAATTTGTGTGTGGTATATTTTACATGCAACATTACAGACTAAGATAAAGATCAGATCCATCACTAGATGAATCCTAAAAGGGCAAAAATTAAGTCAATGAATGAGCAAATTAAAAGAACAGGACAGGTGACCATTCTGCTTTTTGTTATCGTCAGTAAATCCCATGAAAACACTTCAACCAACTCTCAGACTTCTGTCTGACTTCATTTCTGACTTTTCTGTGGTGTCTGTAGCCTATTTGTTTTAGATGAAGATGTAAATCTTTAAAATCAACGAGAAATGTGCAGTTCTGTTTTTAGACAGCTGGGCGCTGTAGTTTTTAGAAAACCTTACTCAAACATGAATAAATACTGCATTTGTTGACAAGTATTTTCAACTGTGGATGTACTAGTGAGGTAGTCACTATATGTGACTGTGTGTGTGTGTGTGTGTGTGTGTGTGTGTGTGTACGCCTGTTGTGGGTTTGTTTATGGGCAGTATGGCATAATCTTAGTTGGTCGCTGACCTCTGCTTAGTTCTCACTGTGGGTTTCAAGTCGTGTGTAGAAATGTGTGTGATTCCAGTATCTTTTTTTACTGTGTTGAATGTGTGTGTTTTTGTGTTAGTGTCTATAAGTGATCTTGAAAGAAGGAAAATCTGATATTTCTGAGTTGTATGCCACATCCTTTATATATCTGCGACCTCTACTCTGGAGCCCGCTGTGGGTTCAAAGTCGAGCGCACAGAAATGTGCGCTTGCAGTGTGTGTATAATTTAAATGTGTGTGTGAAAGCTAGTCTGTGCACACGTTTAAAGATTATTTTTTGCACCTTACAATTGGGAAAGAGGCAGAAGTGTGGGGATAAAAAGAGGCTGAGGAGATGAGCTGTATGGCAGGTGGGGGGGGGGCTGC